CTCTCTCTCTCTCTCTGTCTGTGTGTGTGTGTGTGTGTGTGTGTGTGTGTGTGTGTGTGTGTGTGTGTGTGTGTGTGTGTGTGTGTGTGTGTGTGAGGATCCCTATCCTCTTTGAATGTCTTCTATGGCTCTCGCCCCCCCTCTCTCTCATTTGCAAGTCCTAGCTAAGGGACCCAGAGCCGTTGAATACCCTACTTCGATGTCTCCAAACCAAGTTGCACTGGGCATTGGCCGCACAAGCAAGTAGCAGCGCTTCTGCAACAGACACCAATGGAAGGGGTGTGCCACTTCACTGTGGCTGCTATGTTATACTCGGCTGCAGCTCACAATTTTGGACTTCTTGGATGGGTACCGATCCCTGGCCTCCTGGGTGTAGCGGCTCCCTAACACTGCCTGTCCAGAATGAGGCTGGGCCCAGCTATATACTGCTGACCTGGCGGAGAGTCACCATGGCCTAGATCCTGGGCCATCCAATTGCAATGAATTGCAGTGGCATGCGGGCTGTACGCTAACTTCGTTCGATGTTGCCTGGTTTTGATCGCTCCGGGATTCGATCCCGTGACCTGTTTTGTTTGCTGTGTTTTTTTTTTGTGTGAGATCCCTAGGTCTGTTTGGAGTAGTCTCTGTAGGCTAGCTGTAATATCACTATGTAGGTCTCTCTGTTTTGTCCTTTCTGCCCTTGACTTGTAGGTCGTTTCTGTCCTCGCCTTTTGCCAATTTTAGGTCTAGATTCGGTCCTATAGGCTGTCGTTCCTACGCTGTAGGCTGTCGAGTCAGGGAAAACAGCAGTCTACGAAAGTGTCGAGGGCAAGGAAAAGCGGGTTCTGTCTCGTCATTTTTTTCCGCGAAGTGCTGCTGGAGGTCGCGTGCTGTTTGGGTACTGCGTTATTTCACTCGCAACATCATCTTCATGCTGCTAGGGCTGTCCTCCATACCTGGGGCTTCCTGGCTCGTGTTGTGACTGCGCTGGGCATCAGGCCCTGAGCGCTGTGAGGCGGCTCCTCTTACCTGTGCTGTTGGGGATAGGTAGGGTCGCGTAGGGTCGCCATCGGAACCCTTCTTGCAAGTGTTTGTCGAAGTGGCAGCCATCTCCTTCTTCATCAAGCACTGGTGCTCTTCTTCTTCGTCCTGGGAGCTACCCTGCCCTGTTGAGTAGACACTTCATCGGCAGTGGGCATCAAGTTTGGACTGCTGAGTGGTGTGTTGGGTTCAGGAGGGTTGGTGGCGCTTGATGGGCTTGATAGGTTAGGTGCAGGCCTGCGCCAGCTGTGAGCTTGAGGTTGGGAGGAAGAAGAAGTCTCCCTTGTTGAAACTCTCTTCTTAGTTCGTTTGTGGATGTTAATAACGTGGTTGGGATTCTTGGAAATAACAGAGCATTGATTGAATATTAATGAGAATTGAGTGATTTCAATTTTATTTTTGGTTTTAAGTGCTTCCACTGTGTATGTTCTCATCTGGTGTGGTGTGAATTGACGACAAGCTCTCTTGTTGTTGTGCATCTGTATGGGAGCATGTGGATGCCATGCTGTATCTCGTTTCAATCAGGCACATAACACAATAACCATCGATTGCCTATTTTTGGTTTTAAGCTGAGTACGGAACCGGGCTGCCCGGCCGACCAGCGCCTGCCCGGGTGTGGCATACTGCGTAGCCACACGGGCCCTGCAGGGCCCGTCCCGCATTCTCAGCCTAAAAGCCTAGAAAATAGGGCTTACAGGCCCCCTGTCGTTTCAGCCTGAAACTGAAAACGAGGGCCTGCAGGCCCTATCTCGTTTTCAGCCTATATCAGGGCTTTTCAGCCCTGAGGCTTTTCAGCCTGAAACGGAGGGCCACTTTCGGGCCCTCATAAGATCGACCTACCCTAAGACTCAGGCACAAAACCAGGGTTTCGGAAACAGGCTATCTTTAGCCTGTTTCCCACGACAGCCACAAGCAGGAGCTGCAGCGGCAGCCCCTGACTCCCTGCGGCATTGGCAAGAGCAGCCTCCTGGACTGCCTCGCCCTGCAGTCAGGAGGCAGGCCGTGTAGTACATAGGGAGTCCCATGCACTACACGGGGGGGGTAGTGGTCAGTAGGCACGAGTAGTCCTCAGAATTCGGCCGCAGCACTCAGGAGGAGCGCTGCAGTAGTCTTCAGCGCTAGTAGTAAGTAGCACTAGCTGTAGTCTTCGGCGCTGGGTGCCATAGCTGTAGCTGTAGTCTTCAGCGCTGGGCGCTGGTAGGTGGTAGATCGTAGAGTGGGAGAGAGACTGGCGGAGGCCAGTGTTACTTTACCTGTGGCGCCATCGCTGCAGCTCCATCTTCGTGGTGCCTGCATCAAGGCGCCAACTTCACAGGTTAGTACTGGACACAGAGAGAGAGAGAGTTCTTCTTCTTCCTCTTCTAAGTCCACCTTCTCTTCTCACCCTCTCGCCACCTGACTTCTCAGACTACGACAGAGAGAGACAGAGTTGTGACTTGAGACTTGACGACAGTGGATCCAGACTTGACATTTGGGATTCAGACATTTTGACGAGGGACTATTTGGGCTTGTGCCGAAGACTTGGTGTTGACGACATGCCCATCTTCCCCCTCCTCTTCGTCTATCCCCTTCCTCTTCGTCTGTGTATGGTATGGGCTGGCGCAGTCTTCCTGTGTGAAGCGCCAGGCCCATTTCACACCATGTAACGATGATGATGATGTATGTTCAGGGCTGCATTTCAACATTGATTGTTCGGATCACTAATATGTAAGTCTTCCGTTGTGCTATTTTATACTTTGTATTGGAAGGCCGGTTCTTGTTCTGGTCTGCACGTTACAGTATGCAACACCGGGGGAGGTCCCGGGCGGCCTGGCCGGGCGGACGGCCCGGTTGGGGGCCGGGCACCCCCAGCACACCTTGTCGAGGGGGGGGTTCAGACCCCGAATCGCCATGTTCTGGCATCCCCAGGGCCTACCGGGTCCGACCAGACCCAAAAAACGGCGCGTCGGGCCCGTGAGGACAGCTTTTTTTCTTGAAATTGTGACGGCCCTCCGGCTGTCGATCATCCATGATCGACGGCCAGAGGGCCGTTTGATTTTTGGAGGGAAAATGAGGACCCGTTTGAACAGCCGACTGGCTGGGGCGGCCTGCATCGACTGTCCAAACGGGGCCTTGGTTTTCCCCAGCCGCCGAAGTTCGTGGTTCAGCCGCCCGTCGTCGTGGAGCCGCCCGTTGTCGCCTGGGAGCTACACTCCCCTGTCGTCGTGGAGCCGCCCGTCGCCATCGCCTGGGAGCTACACTCCCCCGTCGTCGTGGAGCCGGCCGTCGCCCGTCGCCCGTCGCCCGTCGCCAGCGTCGTGGAGTCGCCCGTCGCTCGTCCCCCTCTCATCATCATCTTCTTCTTCTTCTTCTTCTTCTTCTTCTTCTTCTTCTCTCCTCCTCCTCCTCTTCCGACTATCTTCTTTTTCTTTTTTTTTATTTTGTTCCATTCGTCAGCGATAGGTCGCGAGATAAACGACAGGTAAGAAAAAAAGAAAAAACTGCTCCCTTCTTCTTCTTCTTCTTCTTCTTCTTCTTCTTCTTCTCCCCCGCCTCCCCCTCATCTTCTTCTCCTTACTCTTCTCTCCTCCTCC